TTCGCTGTATAACTGTAGTTTCATCAGTGAAGCAATTACTAATTGCTAGTACATCTTTTGTGTCTTGCCATCTGCAGACAATTGTGCCATTTGCAAACTGAAATTGACTTTCTCCTCGTTCTAGTTTTCCAGAAAACTTAGGAACATTTTCACGATTTCGCATCAGAGTTCCAACAGCAGGAAACTTGATAGTGTCAAGTAAGTGAACGGAAGAGAAAAACCTATCAAATGTTAATACTATATTTGTGCATTTAATTGTGCCTGACAATTTGACAACAACTCTTTTGTGTCCCTTCATAGACATCCATTTCTTTACCAGCATAAATATTTAGATCATCAACATATCCTGTGAGTGAATCGGAGCGTACCCAAATCTTTATGCCTCGTTTGTTTGGTTTCATTGGTAAGTATTGCTTGAGCGAAGATCGTCCTTTGAATTTCGTCATTAATTCGTCAATACTTTGAAAAGTAGAGGCAGAACGATATTTAGTAAAGGTGGATTTTAGGCAGTTGGCTACTTCTTTGATATAATATATCTCTCCCGAACTGTTAAGCTTTTCTGGATCGTTGAAGTACATTTTGGATAATAATTTACAACGACCTCTGGATATTGCTTTTTTTATTGCGCTGTTGCCCAATGATTCATTATTAGACCAGTAGTTGTTGAATCCTGGCACACGATTGTAGCACATTATGAAGGATACACCTACTACAATCATTATTTCATGATAATCTGTTTCTACTCTCTTTTTCTTGATATCTTCCTGAAATATTTTCAATCTGGCGTTAGTGTATTCAGCAATTCGAATAAATAGACTTCTTGGGGAAATCTTCAGGAATACGTCGATTTCCATTACATTAGTACATTATGGGGAATGGGAAATCTTGGAGTAAATTAAAAATCTGAAGCAGTAGCCACGTTTTCACTTTCAAGTATCTCATTACTTTCCTGGACAATCTCATCGTCATGGTTTATTTGATGTGCCGCCATTTCATCATCACTAGAGCAGTGGTTAGTAGATATGTTAGACTCTATGTCGCTGTCTGTGGGACTATAATTTTCATCTGACGAATCTTCGCAATGAAATGGATCTTCTTCGTCATCACTCCAATCATCTTCAAATATTCTGTTTGCTTCTCCTTCGAGTTTCCTCTGAGTTTCCTCAATGAGCGGTCGACCGTTTTATAGGGACCCACCGTACAAAGCACTAAAAATCGCCACGTTTTATGAGTACACAATGGTTGAAACTAAGTACAATGCTAAAAACATTAGGGTTCAGCCGTCTTAAGACACGTACTTGTAAACCAATCTTTCTAGTTCTAGATCTAGTGTTAGTTCAATAAAAATATACAACAACCTAACACTGAGTCACAATTAAAACTAAAGGTGTCTCAATAAAAGTGCCCGATTTAAATTTGGTGCCATTTTTTTTATGTGCAAGTGGGAGCCCTGCAATTTGACAGCTGTCATTTACGATTGCTCCGATTATTAATAATGGGGCGCTATAGAAAGGAACAACGCGTTATCATTGTGAAAACCCATTACAAATATGGTGAAAGTTACGCCGAAACCGCTCGCAAACTTCACGGTATTTTACATCGTGAAAGTGTACCAAATGTGTCAACAATTCGAAGAGTAATCAATAAATTTTAAGAGACCGGGTCGATTATGGATAGCATGGACCGCCGATCTCGCAAAAACATCGCTGCTGTAAACGAGAGTATCGTCAAAAATTCGGAAACATCAATTCGGCATCGTTCACCGCAACTTCAAATTTCGAGAAGCACCACGCAGCGAATTCTCACGAAGAACCTCCATCTTCATCCCTACAAGGTTCAGCTGACCCAGGAGCTCAAACCAACAGACCACTCCCAGCGCCGCCAATTTGTTCAATGATTGATGGAGCAAAATGAAGTGAATCATCTTCAACTGGCCACCGAGATCGTGCGATTTGACACCGTGCGACTTCTTCCTCTGGGGTTTTGTGAAATCTCACGTCTATGCTAATGCGCCACGGACTATTCCCGAGCTCAAGGACGAGATAAAACGCGTCATCGGTGAGTTAGAATCGCAACTCTGCAGAAACATCATCGAAAATTTCATGAAAAAAAGCAAGGATCTGTGTGCAAAGCCGCGGGAGTCATTTACCGGATATTTTATTTCATGCATAATCGGAACATGTGTGCTTTATAATGCAGTAAAAATATCACCACTCGCTCAAAAACTATGCGTTTTATTGCTAAATTAAATCGGGCATTCTTATTGAGACACCCTATAGAACTAACACTAGACTTAGAACTAGAAACATTCAGGTGTAGCTGTATGTCTCTTAAGACGGCTAAAACCGAATGTTTCTAGGTCTAGAACTAGTGTTAGTTCCAGTGCTAGTATTAGTTGTACTTTTAGTTGTTATTGAGCGTTAGATTGTTGTATATTTTTCATTGAAGTAAAAGTAGAACTAAACCAAGAACGAGAAAGTTTCGGGTTTAGCAATGCGTCTTTATTATCATGTCCTACAAAAGGATATTGATACCATAGGAAAAAAAATCTGATATTATAAGGGTTAAGTCCTCTTTTCACACCTTATCACAAAATAATGAATTAATATATTTATTTATATTAAATAATTTGTTTNGAGGAACTCAAAGTCAAAATTCGTGAAGAAGTTGAAGGAATAGACGAAGGTTTGCTACGCCGTGTAATGAACCACTTTTTATCTAATATTGAAAAATGTGTTGAAGTTGGTGGAGGTCAATTAGAAGACGTGATTTTTAAAAGTTAGAATTAAATTAGCCACATATTTATAAGTTATCATAAATCCCAAAAAGTTAGCTGTAATTTAGTATAATAAAAAGTTTGTGTTGTTAACTAAAAAAATTTTAATTCAAATTTCAAAATGGGTAGCCTATTATGGGGAACCCTGTAGTTCTAGGTGTAGTGTCAGTTCTAGTTTTATACTAGTTATACTGTTACTATGTAAAACTAACACTATGCCTAGAGTGTTATGCCTAGAATCATTTGGGTTTAGCCACACGTCTCTAAAGACGGCTAAACCCGAATGATTCTAGTTCTAGATATAGTGTTAGTTCTAGTTTTACACTTGTATTGTCACTAGAACTAACATTAGAGCCGTCTTTAGAGACGTGTGGCTAAACCCAAATGATTCTAGGCATAACACTCTAGGCATAGTGTTAGTTTTACATATTAACAGTACTAGTATAAAACCAGAACTAACACTACACCTAGAACTAGAAACATTCGGGTTTAACCGTCATCTGTTCTGAACCCGAAATTTTCTAGTTCTAGGTCTAGTGTTAGTTCTTTTTTAATTGTGATTCAGTGCTAGGTTGTTGTATATTTTTATTGAACTAACACTAGACCTAGAACTAGAAAGATTCGGGTTTAGTTGTACGTCTCTTAAGACGGCTGAACCCTAGCGTCTCCGGGTTTTATGTGTCCCACCCAAAAGTGTCTAATGGGACGAATATATCCCGGCCCTTATCGCATGAAGGGCATAACCTACATTTATAAAATCAACATTTCAACCTCGTTCATTAACCAATAACCTCATCAACCTGGTTCACTAACCAGGTTCTATATATGTTGAATCTCTTGAGTCTGGTAGCCATTATTTAAACCTATTTTTACAATGGTTTTAATCTCTTCTGAATTAAGAGGTATGTTGTAAATTCTGTTGAACAGAAATCTAAAATTGTCGTATTTGTGTTGCCTACAACAATAAGAATCCTTAGGAATCACATTATCAGTGAAAATCGGCTTCCTGAAGATGTTGAACTCAATTAAATTGTTACTCAAATTTCTTTGAAGGGCCAATTGTTAATTTCAATTTCTGTTGTAATTTCTAATGAGCTTAGGTTATTAATTAAATTATGTAGTGCTTTAAATTTTGTAGAATTATCTTTATAAACGATTAGGATGTCATCGACATAACGTGCATAGAAAGCAATGTCACTTACAAAAAGTTTATGTTTATCTTTAAATAGTTCTTTTTCTATGTGATCAACATAAATGTCTGAAAGGATCTCTGATATGGAAGAACCCATAGGTAAACCATTATGCATTTTGTATTGCCTATTATTAAAACAGAAAAAGTTTTGTTTACAAACAATATCTAACACCTTCAGAAAACTATCAACCTCAAGTAAATCAACACAAAATCTATCGAATTCTCTATTAGGTATTTCTTGATCAGATCTACAGTAGGGTTCACCGGTATGTTAGTGTATAAATTTTTGATGTCTAGTGATATTAATTTATAGTTTTTTCGATTTTTATATTAGAAAGTTTTTTAACTAGTTCTGTTGAGTTTTTAACCGTATATTGAAAAGTTTTATTGAAAGTTTTATATAAAAATTAGAAACTAGACTTAGAACTAGAAACATTAGTTTAAAATGGTGATTAATTAGAAATAATTAAAATACTTCTTGTACTTGCTGTTTAAATATTTATTGAAACCGGTTTCGAAGTATTACTTCATCATCAGTCAAAACATTAGGGTTCAGCCATCTTAAGAGCCGTACCGCTAAACCCGAATCTTTCTAGTTCTAGATCTAGTGTATGTTCAATAAAAATACACAACAACCTAGCACTAAATCACAATTAAAACTAGAACTAACACTAGACTTAGAACTAGAAACATTCAGGTACATAGCAGTATGTGTCATAAGACGGCTAAAGCCGAATGTTTCTAGGTCTAGGACTTGTGTTAGTTCCAATGATAGTATTAGTTGTACTTTTAGTTGTTATTGAGCGTTAGATTGTTGTATATTTTTCATTGAAGTAAAAATAGAACTAACACTAGACCAAGAACTAGAAAGTTTCGGGTTTAACCGTGCATCTTCAGATCGCGGTTTTATTATCATGTCCTACAAAAGGATATTAATACCATAAGTAAAAAAAATCTATTTAGTCTTCTTTTCACACCTTATCACAAAATAATGAATTAATATATTTATTTATATTAAATAATTTGTTTCAGATACAGAATTTGTCTACAGAGATATATTTGGCGGTATCAGCATTTACAATGCGGAGAATCTCACGACATCGACGTTTCTGACAAATACAACCTTCGTGAGTTTCAATAATGTAGGCGCTAACAACTTGTTTTGATTTGTCTTGGTGCCACGAAAATACGGCCACCGTAATCGTTAGAATTAGAACAAATTTCGGTTTTCTATTTCAGAGACAATACAACGTGGTCGATTTCAGGACGTCCAGGGACTTAAAATTCGTTCTATTAATAACCGATCTGAGGCACAATTTCGATTATTCAACGTTGGCCCAATATTACATTTTAGAAGTATCTTCTGGGTAAGTAACGGATCACTTTATTTAAACATCACAAGTAAGATTAATCTTTAGGAGTCGAAATAAATTTTCTTTGATCTAAGATAATAAATTTGAACTAAAGTAATTCATTGCCAAACGATTGTACTTAACTGGTTTAAACAATAAAAAATGATATTTGGGAAGAAGCCAAAATTTCAAGTATCTAAAATATTATACTATTGTAGCCAGATACATTGTAGATAATAAATAATCTGTTGATATGCGTGAAAATAAAAGTTCACGAACTCATAATTCACTTAAGAGAGAATTGTATCAAAAGTTTCGTTGCGGTTATTGCCCAACATTTAACACTTTTGGGCTTCCCCCATTTAGCCACTAATCCAGTCGCGGTAACACTTTGACTGTGGTTTGGTGTAGTATCACATGTAAGGTTTCCATATGCAACTAATTGCAGTACTTTATACAGCTTTACCTGCAGAATGCTTAGTACATTCAAACACTTCTCCCGCTTAGAAATTATTGTTACAATTCTTTTAAAAGTAGATTTAATTTGTGGATTTAAACTCAAATTTATTCTATTTATTCTGTTTTTATTGCACTATTAAGACATTTAGAATGTCCAGATGAAACTATACTCAAATATAAATATTTCTCTTGAAATTTACGATGATGATTACACATAAACCAGCCCAAATGAATTTCGTAGTTTACGTTGGATGAAGATAAATCTTAAAATGTACGTCGCATATCCCACAATTTTATCCTTTATATCGTTGCACATACAATATATTCGTGTTTGTACGTTATATTTGATATGATATGCTTTTGAAGTCAAGTCTCGGGTTATATTAGGTTCTTCTGGCCAAAAATACGCCCGCGATATTAAAACTTAATGAAATGGTGATCACAGAAAACCGTGCACATAAGATGAAAAGTGCAATTTTTTACGATCGGACGATTTACGATGTCGCGTCGTTAAATTGATTTTAAGTTTACGTCTGGTACATAAAGTATGGCGCCAAGTTGGTTTCACAAAATAATGCAGTCTGAAATTCGAAAACGATTAATATAATCCAAGTATGTAAATCACACAACGAATTCATGTTAACGGGCATTCGTGTTAACGACTTGCCGACAATCAAAAGCTGTCTAAAGCTCAATAGATTTAATTAATGACTTCCTTTTCTTTCTTGATAGTTATACAAAACCGCTTTCGCCCAAGGAATTGGACGATAGCGCGCCGTTTTTAAAATACGCAACATGGTCCACTAATGGAACTTCCATAGCCTTCGTTCATAACAACGACATTTACTACAAACCTAAAGTTCAAAAGGACTTGGTTTGTAGGATTACATCGACCGGAGGGGAGGATATTTTTAATGGCGTACCTGATTGGATTTACGAAACGGAGATTTTAAAAACTGATCATACGTTATGGTTTTCACCTGATGGATTATATTTAATGTATGCTACTTTTAACGATAGTAAAGTTGGAGAGTACACATACACTTGGTATGATAGTGGGAACCCAAAGGCGAAGTATCCCGAAGTTAAAAGCATCAAATATCCAAAGGTAAATGTTTTATACTATTTAATTCTTTTATTTATCGATATTAAACATGCTTATATAAAGTAATTGCAATCAATATTTGACCATTTCAATAATATGTCGCTCATAAAATTGTAATCAAGGTTGACATTAATACCGTTGTGCATTTCTACCTGTAATGGGGTACTCGAAACTCTAATCTTCCGATAATGGCGTCCGTTAATGACGATTAAATGGATTTACTCATTAATGCTGCAATAATATTACAACAGCGTTTTATAATCGGATTACAACATCCGAAACGCAATCATAAGCTGATTGCAACTCGATGTAGTATAGTGTCTATACAGAGTGCCGTGTCATGTTTTATTCAGTTCGATACTTTAATACGGGAAATGGTTTGATATAAATATTGAGGTTGATTATGACTTATAGCAGTGGTGTCCATAACGTCGATCGCCAACAAAATCATAAGTTTGAAATAGATATTTCAGATTTATGCTAATAAAGATATTTTTGTAATTCGCGATGGTAATGAAAGCTATTACAGTACTCAAACGGGTGCTGTAATGAGACTCTTTACAGCATCCGATGCTGTAATGAGATTTTAGTAACATTTTATGGAAGCAGTTCAAGTTGGTGACATTGGGTCATTAATTTTTCTAGTTGTCAATGTGACAATTTTTGTCTATAGATATTTAAACTCGTTCTTCACATCGAATACAAGGTTCACAATGATGAGGACATTGAACTTTGAGCAATTTCTCTTATTCTGGAAGGTGTACATGAAACATTTTTTCAAGTGAATACATTTTGTGTTTTGACAATTTCTAATTGCCAATGCAAATTTCTATTTTCAAGTGTTGCGGTGTTACCAACTGCTACATACCTATTTCCCTACATTGTCAAAATTAATTTTAGTTTTGTTAAAAAAAAAAGGATAAAAACGCGAATTACAAAAAATAGCATAAAAAACATGTTTCATAAAACTTAAAGCACTCATTCATTAAAAAACTCGTGGCTTCGCCACTCGTTTTTCAACATGAATTCGTGCATTTCAAGCGTATCTTACGAAACTTGTTTTTTAATATACTATTATTCTATGCTCTAAAATTCTCAATATACAAGAAATCATGACCATAGCTTTTAAAATCAGCAATTCTATCCGGTCAAAAAGTTTACAAAGCAAGTTTTTTAAATTATACGTAGAAGAAAGCGACCACGAAGGATGCACTGAACTTGTGATGCATGCTGAGGTCAGGTGGTTAAATAGAGGCAAGTTCTTACAGCGTTTTCGCGATTTAATTGACGAAATTAAACAATTTCTTATTACAAGAGGCGACGATTACAGTATTAATACAGGTTGTTGGAAGATGATATTTGGATTTTAGATTTGTCTTTTCTGACAGATATTACAAGTAAGCTGATTGATATGAATTTAGAACTTCAAGGACAGAATAAAACGATTTTTGACATGATGAATTCTGTAAATGCCTTTAAACAAGAACTAAACATAATGTTATCTAGAACGAATGATAATAATTTCACTTCATTTCCCATTATGACGTCTCAATTAAAAAAATATTGCTGCTACCGATATCGATTTAAATAGGTATAAAAATGAAATTAAAAGCTAATTGCAGAGTTTGATAAAAATATAAATATAGAAAAAGTTGCAGAAAACCTGCCTAACTTCTTCGAAATGGATGTACAGTCATGTTCACGAGAAATACACACTCAAGGTCGAGCGCTGTTGTGAGATCCGACATGCCGCTGGCTCGGCTGACTAAACGGGCTAAGCCGAACGCCCACGAGCCACGAGCTTCGTGTACGCTCGGCTCAGCCCGTTTAGCCAGCAGCATGTCGGATCTCACAACAGCGCTTGACCTTGAGTGTGCATTTCTCGTGAACATGACTGTACATAAATTAGAATCAGAAATCATAATACTGCAAAACGATATCTATGTTAAAGCAAGGGCATCTAAAGAAAATTTTTGAAAATATTTATCGGAAAACAAGTATACAAATTTTCGAAAATGTGTTGAGAATTTGTACTCATGATGTGGTTCAATATATTTCACCTGAACTGCATTTCCACAAATGAAAATAATAAAATCTAAATACCGAACGGCATTGACTGATACTCATTTAGAATCTTGTTTGAGAAATGCCCTAAGTAATTACACTCCCAACTCTAAAAAGATTGTAAACTCACGGCAGTATCTCTATTAAACAACTTAAAATATTAATAAATGAGTTAATAATAATAATCTTTATAATAATCTTTATTGTGCTAATAAGAAACTTACACTCTTTACACTCGTCAATCTGTAGTACAATAAAATATCAATTAATTAATTAAAATATAATAAAGCAACCCTACAAACCACAAAATTACAGTATACAAAAAAAGAGAAAATGAATCTCAAGCACTAAATAGGTCTACGGAATGTTTTTAACTTCCCAAGCAACTCGTCGGCTGGAAGAGCTCTCACACTATGTGGCAGGTGATTATACAATTTTTGTCCCATGTATAAAGGACCTGATTGTGTCTTGCATAACCGCGCAAAGTCTGGGTAAAGGTCTTCTCTCCCACGCGTTTCATACGGGTGAATATCACCGTGCATCCTTAAGGAGTTCATGCTCTCCAAGATGTATCCCACGCAGCGAAGGATGTACAGAGATGGAATGGTGAGTATAGACTGCGCAATAAAAGCATTTCTGCAATCATCACGATAACCTAAACCCGTTACTATTCTTACCGCCCTGCGCTGCAGCCCGAACATGTGAGCAGTTTCAGGGGCTGCTCCCCATGCTAATATAGAGTAAGACAGTATGGAATGAACAAATGCAAAATAAGCACTTTTTACTACTTTTGGCTTAGTTAAATGAAATGATTTTTTATTTCATTGAAAAGATGTGATATTATTATAAGCAGGTAGGTAAATATTGCACTTTTAGAAATAAAGTGGCACAACTCAAAAATTGAATATTTTTAGTTTTAATCATAAAACGTCATAAAAAGCTCTATCAAATGCATCACTTTCGTGTTAAAGGTGCGATATGATAGGATGAGCCAATAGGTACAAAAGGAAGGTGAGTTTTAAAATGCACAAAAAGATTTTAAACCCTTCCATCGATCTTGGCAAAACTTTATATAAAAAGTCGATCTTGGTCAAAAATTAGTGGACACCACTGACTTATAGCTCAAATAATGTTGGATTAAACGTGTAATCGAGTGATAATTTTTTTCTCGCTTGTTAATTTAAACCATGAAATATATGCACTTAAGAAGTCGGCTTCTAAGTCTCATTCAGCTTCTACTTCATTGTGATTTAATGATGGCCACAACTTGATAATTGTGTTATTCTCTCAAGTACACTATTCCAAACGTTAGTAACAGTACAGCTTAAATTCAGATAATTGAATTCCTTATTCTTATAGATTTTGTTATAGAAAACGGCGTTCTTAAGGAAATCAACAATATACAGGGAAAGAATGGGAAATCCGAATACCAGAGACACTAGACACCAAAATATGACGATTTAACCTAACATGTCTTATACAAATGTCGGTGGTTTTTAATACACAGGGTGTTGAAGGTTAAATTTTTATTTCGAAATTTCTTAATAATTTTGAAGGTTTTTGTACTATTAACATAAAATTTGGTAGTTAGATGTTTTCGAGCATGAGAAATACGAATTTGATATTTGTTTTGTGATTAGTCGTAGAGGGCGTTAGATACACACTGTACGTTTGAAATATCAAATCATGACTATTTTGTCAGTTGAGGTATGGTGAATTAGAACCAGAAATCTGAAGGAGTTTTCAATTCTGCACAAAAAAGGTACTCTTGCTTACATTGTCTAAGTCTACTGGTTTCCAAGTTATCTGCTTTTAATTGTTTCAAAGTAATTTTAAGGTTAACATTTAAAATCAATAACACACAGTAACAATAGCAATTAGTAACGATAATAATCGATAACAATAACAATAGAATATTGTGACCATTTTCAAAAATCCAATGGACTTAAATCTGGATTTCTCACTATTAAAAAAATCATTATGTCGTGGCATTTTCAAATTGGTAATAACTTTATTGTTGGTAAAAATGATTATTGCACACGGAAATTGGATCAATGTTGACAATTAACAGGCAATTGTCGAAACATAGGCGGAAAAATAACCCAACTTTGCTTATGTTAAAAAATAAATATTTTAGAAGAAAAAATACATTTAGGCCCACTTTTACCACCTCTTGATAAATTTATCCGATAGATAAATCTAGCTCTTAGCCAATGAGAGTGCTTAAAACCGCCGTAACCATGGCAACTATCCTTTAGATAGTTAATCAGGAGGATGGTACAAGTGGGCCTTAAACATTTAAAAGTAAACAATTCGAAAACCGATAGACTTAGGGCCGGTTGTACAATATACCGATAAATCTACCTGATATCTATCCGCCCGATAAACTTATCAGGAGGATAAAGATATTCGCTGTGGTACAAACTGTTTTTGTCGGTAGGATTGCTATCAGCGAAACAAGAGTCGGTTGGTAGTAGTTTTTCCCCATATCTAGTGATTGATATGCCGTAGAATGGTAACGCCAACGTCTTTCTTTGAAGTTTGAATTATGACTTTGACAATATAAATTGTTTAAAAAAATTTTCACTGACACATCGTACATATAAGGTTAACGTTTAATGTTAGAGGTTAACCTATGCAGTAATCATACAAAGTTTTTATATAAAAACCTTGGTAACCATAAATATCTGCCGGATAAGTGTCTTATCGGCACCGCTGAGTACCCGATAAGTTATCCTGCCGATAATCTCACCGACAAAAATATCCGTACATTGTAATACAGTACAAACTAACTTATCTGCCAGAAAACGCTGTCGGGAAGTTTATCGCTATATTGTACAACCGGCCCTTAGACAATTTCAATAAGAGTACTTTTTTTTATGTAAAATTGAATGCTCTTTGTGATTTGCAGCTCTTATTGGTCGTAGCTGTCGAGCCAAAAAACTTATGATTTGATTTATCAAACGAGCAGCGTGTATCTAGCGCCCTCTACGAGCAATAACAAAACAAGTTTCAAATTCGTATTTCTCATGCTCGAAAACATAAAACTACCAAATTTTATGTTAATAGTACAAAAACCTTCAAAATTATCAAGAAATTTCGAAATAAGAATTTAACTTTCAACACACTATGCCTCGAAAACCATTAACATAAGAGATGTTACGTTAAATCATCATATTTTGGTGTCTAGTATCTCCGGTATTCTGACTCACCCTGTATAACATCTTTCATAAATGAGTATTCCCTGTCTTCATTGTCTTGTATTGATATAATGAGTTGCTAGAGATATTACAGCTTTGAATCGTTTCATTTCCATTTTGACCTGAAAACACATTTTCCTTGCATAATCTTATCGTAGTCATCTAAAATCCTTCCGGTCGTAATAAATACAACAATAACCCCGGGAAATTCGTTATTATAAGCTAAGGGAAGTGGAAGTACAAAACGAAATAACCCAGACGTTGTCATATAAATTGAAGTCTTGGTAAAGTGCCAACAAATGAAACGAAACCGTTTCGGTAAAGTCTTAATTTCGCAGCAAGTCGTTAAGTTTCACAACATGTTCTTGCGTGGGCAAAAACACACCCTTTATTACAAAAAAACTTTTGTTAGAGATGTCAAGGGCGTGTATTGATAAAGTATCCCCGAAAAGAAGGATTATATTACATATTTAAGGATTAATCGATGCGAGAGTTTGAAAGGCTTGGGATAAAGAAATGGGCCAAGTAATAATTGCCTTTTGGGCCGTTCGAGTACGAAAACGTGCCTACACTGCTTTATACCGCATTAACCGCGTTTTGTGGCGATGGAAGAAACTTTGAAATTACGTCAGGTGGTGTTGGCGGCAACGTGAAGGTGGTGGAGGACTTAACGTTGTTGCCGATAAATGGAAACTTTTAGAATTCACTACGTATCAGAGTGTTATTGTTACTCCATTTAATTTTTTTTATAGAAAGTTGTTTGAAATGGAAAAAGGTAAAAAATGTGTTTTAAAATTATGATCTAAACGACGGAAAGTAATTCATTAAAACTTTCAACGTACAAATATTTCTCAAACTGAACCACGATAGTATTTTTAGCTTACTTTTCAGTATTTATTAATCGATAAATTTACATAAGATATTAATGATTTACATAAACGAAACAAACCTCGATTTTTTTTTTAGAATCTTACCGATGATCTTGTTACGTAAATATTTATTAAGAATTTGCCACAAAAATGAATAAGTACGAGTTTACTTATTAAAACAGTAAGGTATAAACAACAACCTTTCTTATAGCATCTCCGTTATAAGCTTGAGTTGAGAAAGCGTCTCGATCACTTCCTCTTGAACTCAATAAATCGCTGTGTATATCTATCGGCTTCTGAAAAAGGTGGCTTTTGCCAAAAGAAAATCAATAAAGGCAACGAAGGGATGTCGCGAATCTGGTGAGAAAATCCTTTTACGACGATTTTCGTGTAGTTAAGGGGCTATGAATGACCCAATATATCGGTCCAGATATATATTTCATATATTTATTAATATCACGTTCTTTGGTGTTTTTTGTGTCTTATTTTATAGACCACGTAAACTCGTGCAATCACACCTTTTAAACCCGATCTATCTACCTCAAAAGCACGTGACGAGCTTACTCAATCCGTTAGTAAAAGGAGCTTTCGTGAAAGTAATAAATTTAGTGTTAACGTGACTGTTTCGGTTTGTATCTTGTACTCAAATCGATTTTTAAATTTAACAATTGAAAGGTTGTGGTGACAATTTTTTTATATTTTTCATTTACGTTTAAAGGTGTTTATATTTTTGTTATTTTTTTTTTTAAAGGTGGAAAGTAATAACCCTGAGGTGACCGTCTGGATCGTTAACTTGAGCGCCCCGAAATATTTGTTCCCCGTACAGCTGAAACCGACGTCGAGCGTCGAAAATGGAAGCTATCTAACAAGCGCGAGTTTCTATGGAGATCACGATGTTGCTTTGGTGTGGCTCAATCGGAGACAGAACGTTTCGGTGATCCTCAGCTGTCGAGCACAGAACAATTTCAATTGTACCGATGTGAGTATATGTACGAAGTTTCCAATTCGCAGTTTCCTTTGTCACATTTCCAAAGAGAAATGGGAATTTCCTTTTTCGATCGATTCTTTTCGCGCGAGATTTTCTTGTAAAACGCACCCAGAAATAACTTTCCCTCATAAAATATTTCTATAAATACGAAAGCTCGCCTCAGTGTTATCATGGGAGCACACTCCTCCCCAGACATGCATACGACGTAGGCCAATTTTTACGACGGCGGGAGTCGTAAATTTAACGTCGATTCACTACCGTTGCTTTCGTAAACAAAATAGGTTTTTCAAGGAGAAAATATTTACCGATATACAGTGAATTTTTCTTAAAATGCAATATACAAAAATATATTTCCATAGACATCAGTGAATCCAACATGTCTGAATGTTTCTAGTTCTAGGTCTAATGTTAGTTTTAGTGACAGTGGTAGGTAGCGCTAGTTAACATAAGATCACTGTGTTGCATATCTGTATTGAATTAAAACTAGAACTAATACTAGACCTAGAACTAGAAAGTATCTGGTTTAGCCGTGCGTCTTCAGACAAGTGTTTGTTCTAGTTTTACACTAGCACTATCACTAGAACCAACACTAGACCTAGAACTAGAATCATTCGGGTTTAGCCGTCTTGAGAGACGTGCGGCTAAATCCGAATGTTTCTAGTTCTAGGTCTAGTGTTAGTTCTAGTTTAACACTAGCAGTATTACTATGTAGAATTGACAATACACCTAGAACAAGAATCAATTGGGGTTAGCCACACGTCTCTAAAGACGGCTAAACCCGAGTGATTTTAGTTCTAGGTATGGTGTTAGTTCTAGTTNAACATTGCTTTGAACTTCCAAAAAGAAACGTCAAATCGCAACTTTAAAGTGATTTTTCGGTAAGTACTACACTTTTCCGCACTTTTTTTTTATCATTAACACATCTTTTGAGTCATTTCCTACCGATTAAAAAAAAATGCATCGATTTTTAAGAGGGACAGCTAATCTTAATATATGCCAAGAGTCTCATTACAGCACCCGTTTGAGTACTGTTAGAGCTTTCATTACCATCGCGAATTACAAAAATATCTTTATTAGGATAAATCTGAAATATCTATTTCAAATATATATCTATTTCGAATTACAAAAATACGTTTGTCCGCGACTACCTTATAATATATACCTTATGAATGAGTTTTCTAAAACAAAATGGTAGTCATTTTTCGGAGTGAATAATAGCGGTGAATAATAATCATTATTCACGGATAGCCTAAAAACCTAAACAAATTCCTTTTTTCGTATGATTTAAGCATAAATTAATTAATTTTCGTAAAGAAAATGACGTTTTATAAAACTGACACTTAATTTTGACAAATTGTTGTGAAGTTGGTTAACCTTTATTCAAAAATTTATTTAAAATAATAAATTTATGGAATCAATTTCAATAGTCGTGGACAAAGTATAGTATTCCACTCGCATGTAATGAGCTATTATTCATTCAGGTTAATTATGCCACTCGCTACGCTCGTGACATAAACTTAACCTTCGTGAATGATAGCCCTCATTATATGCTCATATAATAATATACTATTAACAACCTGCGAAAATGTCTCCTATACTCTGTTTTTAAACCAGGAGGAGTAAACGCGAAAGTCAGATTTACACTAGGAAAAATCACCAGATATTTTGGCGGTAAATTTAAATTAATAATTATTATTATTTATTTATTTACTTATTATTGTATTTATTTTCGTTTGTTATCGTCAACACTAAACATACAAATTAACATTGAAGTTATGTTCTATGTATTTGTTTATCCATATCACCGTTGTAGAATTAAGGTAAATATTAATTAAAATTATATACTATGGTGATTATTTATATATTTGTCTTACTAGTTTCGGTTACATTACCGTCTTCAGAGACCTCTACAAAGGTAAGTATAAAAATTATTCATAATTATATTTTTTATAGGTTAACAAAAGAGGGACTATTAATTGTAAAAAACACTTACGTTAACTAGTTTCTATAAACGTTGGGAAGTGAATGTTTGCTTATCATTATATCTATTCATGCACTAAACTACAACTATCTATCACAAAAACTAATATTAATAAATAAACTCGCCAATTATTATATGTGTGACAAGTTGGGCAAATGAGTTATTTCTAGGTTATGAACAATTGAAAAAATAGGAATCTGTATTTAATTTATAAAATTTGAGATAAAAACAAATCAAATTATACTATTGTTTTCGCAATCAATATTCAAAGTTAAAACGACAAAAATTTGCACATCCACAACAAATCTAAACATCACCAAACTGGAATAAATAATTCTATCTTTTCTTTATATAAACTATAAAATGCATAAATCTTCAAAATGAAACAAAATTAACATGGGAGGTACATTCGAAGGAAAATTCAAGATTAAGGGGATTTGGGGCATGGGTTCTCATCAATGCAGTAATCGAGTTGCCACCAAACTCGATTCTCTCTTTTGATGAGAAAAGTGCATTATTTTGGGAATGGGTTTTTTAAACAGCAATATAGTGGTGTTTTTTGTGGTAAAATCTGTTCATTTAGTATTTCAATGTTTGCGTTGTCATGTTTAAACTTATTAATTTCGTAGAGTTCTAGTAGTTCCATGTGGAGGCTCTTGTTCATTTGATGTATTATTTTGCTATTTTTCCTTTCATCAAAGTTGTGATTATTAAACATAAGATGTCTTCCAAAATTTGAGCTTTCTCTAATTTTGTGTTCTTTGATTCTCTGGATAAGGCTTCTACCAGTTTCTCCTATGTATATGGCTCCACAAGTGTCACATTCTAGTTGGTATATACCACTTTTTTGTAAAAAGTCTGTTTTGTCTTTGTTATTAACTATTTTATTCTTGGTGTGTTGTTAGATCTGAACATGACAAATTAATATTTACCTTAATTGAAGTTATGAGTGTATTTATTTCAAAATATAATAAAGAAGGGTTTAAGAACACAAAATTTATAATAATGACACGAAACTGNTTCTAGGTATAGTGTTAGTTCTAGTTTAACACTAGCAGTATTACTATGTAGAATTGACAATACACCTAGAACAAGAATCAATTGGGGTTAGCCACACGTCTCTAAAGACGGCTAAACCCGAGTGATTTTAGTTCTAGGTATGGTGTTAGTTCTAGTTTTATACTTGTACTGTCATTAGAACTAACACAATACCGAAAACTAGAAACATTCGGATTTAGCCGCACGTCTCTTAAGACGGTTAAATCCGAATGATTCTAGTTCTTGGTCTAGCGTTGCACAACAATTAAAACTAGAACTAACACTAGACCTAGAACAAGAATCATTCGGGTTTAGCCGTCTTGAGAGACGTGCGGCTAAATCCGAATGTTTCTAGTTCTAGGTCTAGTGTTAGTTCTAGTTTAACACTAGCAGTATTACTATGTAGAATTGACAATACACCTAGAACAAGAATCAATTGGGGTTAGCCACACGTCTCTAAAGACGGCTAAACCCGAGTGATTTTAGTTCTAGGTATAGTGTTAGTTCTAGTTTTATACTTGTACTGTCATTAGAACTAACACTAGACCTAGAACTAGAATCATTCGGGTTTAGCCGTCTTGAGAGACGTGCGGCTAAATCCGAATGTTTCTAGTTCTCGGTCTAGAAACATAACACACTACAAACTACAAACTAACACTAGACCGAGAACTAGAAACATTCGGATTTAGCCGCACGTCTCTCAAGACGGCTAAACCCGAATGATTCTAGTTCTAGGTCTAGTGTTAGTTCTAGTTTAACACTAGCAGTATTACTATGCAGAATTGACAATACACCTAGACCAAGAATCAATTGGGGTTAGTCACACGTCTCTAAAGACGGCTAAACTCGAGTGATTTTAGTTCTAGGTATAGTGTTAGTTCTAGTTTTATACTTGTACTGTCATTAGAACTAACACTAGACCGAGAACTAGAAACATTCGGATTTAGCCGCACGTCTCTTAAGACGGCTAAACCCGAATGATTCTAGTTCTTGGTCTAGCGCTGCACAACAATTAAAACTAGAACTAACACTAGACCTAGAACAAGAATCATTCGGGTTTAGCCGTCTTGAGAGACGTGCGGCTAAATCCGAATGTTTCTAGTTCTAGATCTAGTGTTAGTTCTAGTTTAATACTAGCGGTATTACTAAAACTAGAACTAACACTAGACCTAGAACAAGAATCATTCGGGTTTAGCCGTCTTGAGAGACGTGCGGCTAAATCCGAATGTTTCTAGTTCTAGATCTAGTGTTAGTTCTAGTTTAATACTAGCGGTATTACTATGTAGAATTGACAATACACCTAGAACAAGAATCATTTGGGTTTAGCCACACGTCTCTAAAGACGACTAAACCCGAATGATTCTAGTTCTAGGTATAGTGTTAGTTCTAGTTGTATACTTGTACTGTCATTAGAACTAACACTAGACCGAGGACTAGAATCAAGGTCTAGTGTTAGTTCTAGTTTTGCACTAGCACTAACACTAGAACTAACACAAGACCTAGAACTAGAATCATTCGGGTTTAGCCGTCTTGAGAGAGGTGTGGCTAAATCCGAATGTTGTATTGCACTAGCACTATCACTAGAATTAACACAAGACCTAGAACTAGAATCATTTGGGTTTAGCCGTCTTGAGAGACGTCCGGCTAAATCCGAATGTTTCTAGTTCTTGGTCTAGTGTTAGCGCTAGTATTGCACTAGTACTATCCTTAGACCTAACACAAGACCTAGAACTAGAATCATTCGGATTTAGCCGTCTTGAGAGACGTCCGGCTAAATCCGAATGTTTCAAATTCTCGGTCTAGTGCTAATTCTAGTATTGCGCTAGCACTATCACTAGAAGTAACACAAAACCTAGAACTAGAATTATTCGGGTTTATCCATCTTTAGAGACGTGTGGCTAAATCAGAATGTTTCTATTTCTAAGTCTAGTGTTAGTTCTAGTTTTAATTGTTATTCAGCGTTAGATGAGACAGTGCAAGTGCATAGTAGTTTCGTAACTATGGTTATTGCATTCATATATTGCGAGTTTATAAAATTCCCGGTATACAGGGTGGTTCAGTTTTTAATCGGGAAACTTTACTAGGATGTAGTAACTTTTTAACGCTATGGAATATTAATATAAAAAAAATATGGGTTGTAAAGCTCATTCTTTAGTGGTACTTTTTTGTCTCTTTCTTTAGTATTTTCCTTACAGTTAATAGTTTCCGTGTAAAAAATAAAATATCGTGCCATATACCGCTATGTGCCGCCATGTTTGTTAAAATTATTCTAAAAGTTGGCTGTGAGAACTTGTAAGTTTCATTTACGGCGAATCCTCATTATTGTTGATGATTATTAATAATTTTTGACTGTTATTATTAAGCAAGAGTATCAATTTTTTAATATTGTTTAAAACAACGTAATTTGTTCAGACAGCTATTCATGTTATTTATGGTTTTTCTTATGAAAATCACAATTAATTGGTGTTATTTAATTAATATTAGATCCTAGTAAGTACACAACTTCCATAGCCAGCTATAAAGAAAATTTTTTTTTTATAATAGCAGTACTTTACAGTACAGGGTGTCCAAATTTCGATGGGTTTGCAGGGTATCGCAGTTATTATGAAAGATAGAAAGTTGCGGCTTTCGCGAACCTCAGCTACTTTTTTGTGAAACTTACAATGGCGCAAACCAACTTTTCATAGCCCTCTTCGTTTTTGATATACAGGGAGTGTTCCAAAATTTACGATTTTCAGACACCTCCTGCATCTCGACTATCTGGAAACGTAAAAACAGGTTCTAATAGATTTTTTCACGTAGAATCCAATGGTGCACGTAGAATTTTTCTACAGTTTTTGAGTTATAAAGAGTTAAGTATTTTAGAAGTTGAGTATTCAGTATTTGAGTTGTGTTTATAACTCAAAAACCGTGATAACTAGAAAAATTCTACGTGCACCATTTAATTCCACGTGGAAAAATCTATTAGAATCCGTTTTTACTTTTTTACTAAGTTTCCGGATAGCCGAGATACACAGGAGGTGTCTGAAAATCGTAAATTTCAAACACTGTATATCAAAAGCGAAGAGGGCTATGAAAATTTGGTTTGCGCCATTGTAAGTTTCACAAAGAAGTAGCTCAGGTTCGCGAAAGCCGCAACTTTCTATCTTTCATAATAACTGAGATACCCAATCGAAATTTGGACACCTGTACAATGTAGCATATTTTATTTTTTTACGCTAAAACTATTAATAATAATAATAATAATAGATATTTATTAACCCCATTATATGCAAAATGAATTACAAAAAAGAACCTACAAAATAAAAAACAAACAATAAAAAAGTAACGTAATCGAACAAAATATCAATTAAACTAAATTTGGAGCTAAAAAGGACCAAGTCAGTTAAGCAAGAATGCTAAACTGTTTTTCATTGGCCCTTGAATATAAAAAAAAAATATATAATACATCATAATGATGAATCGAAACCCAACCCAGCACCAAGTCAATTGCCACAGTGTCAACTCAGAAAATTGTAATTTAACGAATTAAAATGAAAAACAAAAGGTGAAATCATAAATCATAAAAAAAAGTATTAATGATATTAACGATGACTCATTTCCTCCTGCTGCATCCACAGCTCCACTTTAAGTTTTCTCTTGAATCCGCGCTCATTCTCCAGCCTCATCGGAATAGGAATGTTGTTATAAATGTTAGGCACACAGTAAGAAAAAGCTCGCTCAAACAATTTAAGCCGGTGCTTTGGTATTGTTAACGTATACCTGTGTCTAACATTTATATTATGAACATCAGTACGATAACTAATTTTGTTATATAAATAAGGAGGAGTCTTATAAATAAGTATTTTATGATATAAACAAGCACAGTGTAAAATTCTCCGTCGTGACATATCTAGCCAACCGACCCAAGCAAGCGAGTGAGATATTCTCTCCCGTCTTCTGATCCCAAATATAAAACGAAGGCAAGAGTTCTGTACCCGTTGAATTCGAATTCTGTCCGCAGCATCAATACAAGAATGGTAAAGCGGATCCCCGTAGTTAAAGATGGATAACACAAGTGCTTCGCACAAATGTATTCTTAATTTTTGATGTAAAAGGTTTTTGTTGGAATACAATAACTTGAGGGTGGAATAAGCCCGCTGAAGAAGACCTCTGACATGATTTCTAAATCGCAAATCAGAGTCCAGCGTAACACCTAAATTACGTACTACATCTGAAAGTTGAAGTCGTTGGTTATTAACAAATATATTTAAGGACTGCCTAACGTTATTCGCCGGCAACCCTCCTCCAAAGACGATAACAGAGGATTTTGATGCATTTATAGATAGACAATGACGCCTGGTGTTCTGAAGCAATAATTCAAGATCAGAATTAATTCGAAATTCGGACATACCCAA